AGTGGACCGCTCTGAAAGAGCTTCGGGTACGTATCTTGACATACTACCTAGAAAAGCAAGCTAGAGTTTGTTGCATAGCCAATGCTCCCTGAGGTGTGGAGGGCTGCATACTCGCCTGACGACCTAAAGGCGGAGGTTAAGTCCTTCACTCTCTGGCGTGTCACTATTGACCCGAACAACCCTGCCACCGATGCTCGCGCGAGTGTCATTCTCATGAAGTTCCTTCGGGCCAAGTGCATTGATCATTCTTCGTCTGTTTCTGAGGCCAAGACTGACGGCACTCTGCTAGGGAACTCAAAGTCAACGACGCGAAGACCGCCCTCATTGCTACCTTACGTTGGCGTGATGAGATGAAGATTGATGAGATCGAAACCGAAGAATTCCCTAAGATCTTTAGTGGGGCCGGACGCAACTTTGGCCATGACAAGCAGGGCAGGCCTGTAACGTGCGTAAGAGCCCCTTCTCGTTATTGCCTCTTTTAAGCATCTTTCCGCAGCTACAATGTTTATGGCGGCGATGTGGACGTTAAAGAGCTGTTTTCAGACGTCCGTCGATTTATCCGGTGAGTGCTCGGTCAGCGGTGTCAGCTGCGCTTCAAGACCGACCCCCGGTTGTAGCTGGCGCGTCCAGTTCATGGAGAAGAGCATTGAGCTCTTGGATTTCGAGAATGTCGATCAGATGGTGCAAATCCATGATTATAAGGGCGTCAGCATGATGTCCAGGGGCGCCAACGAGAAGGCTGCGGCCTCTGAAGCGACGAACATCTTCCAGAGCCACTATCCGGAGTTCCTGGTGGGTTGCCGCAGCTAAACTCGCCACCCCCGTCTAGCTGGCTTACGTTAGCCCAGGTTTCCAAGTTCTTCGTCAACGTCCCGACCTTCATGGCCTGGGTCTTCTGGGCATTCAAAGCGTTCATGTCTGCAAAGACCTTCGCCAAGTTCAGCATGGTTGGTACGGGTGAGAGCACAATTGGAGTGGCTCTTCTGCCTTACATCGACGCAAAGGAGCTGCCGAAGGTGTACGGAGGGGAAGCCGATGCCTGGTAAACGACAGGATATCTGTGACAAACATGCAGAACTCATTGGTTGCTACATTACCACTCACCACTTTTATACCCTTGTATATTAGCTGACAAGAGAATCACTTATGCTGATATCTTTACTCTTACATATGCCCAAGGAATAGGATGATGATTAAATGATACCGATAAATAGTGGTACAGACACTAACAAATACAACGTCCAGGACGTAGAAGACAACAGAGAGAAGACTGAGACTCTATGCACGCTCGCCCCGAAGCCGCCTTGCGAGGGCAAGATCCTTGGGTTGGATGGTCACACGCTTAGCGTGGATAGCAGCAAGGTTGGTATCCTCGAAGAGGGAGACGAGATATGCCTCAGCGGCCTCCTGAAGAGCCATGACGGCTGACGATTGGAAGCGGAGGTCAGTCTGAAGAGCAGGTCAGCAACAGCAACCTTGATTGTCATGCGAAGGGATGTACCTTGAAGTCCTGAGCAATCTCACGAACAAGACGTTGGAAGGGGAGCTTGCGGATGAGCAGCTCGGTCGACTTCTGGTAGCGACGGATTTCACGGAGGGCGACAGTACCGGGGCGGAAGCGATGGGGCTTCTTGACGCCACCGGTCGCGGTCGGGGCCTGAGTCTTACGAGACTTGGCAGCGAGCTGCTTACGAGGAGCCTTGCCTGGAGAAGATTATCAGACTAAGTCAAATAGATACAAGTGCACAGAGGACACTTACCACCAGTGGACTTGCGGGCGGTCTGCTTGGTACGGGCCATTGCTTATAGCTGAGAGTACGAGAAAGATTTGAAGTGTTTGGCCTTGACTGTGGTGGTGGGTAGACTAGAGCGAAAGTGAGTGCAAGGAGGCGTGCTCTTATATGGCATTTAGACGCTAGGCGCGACGCGCGGGAGGCGCCACGTGCAGGCGCGTTGATCGTCACTAAACAGCAAAGTCACGTGCAGCGTGGCCGGCCCCGCGAGCGCCAGCCATATAAGAGCAGCCCTCATCTTGCTCTGTGACTACACTCACCCTCGCCCTTCCGCACAAACCTCTCAACACCCGTCTCTTCGCTTTAATCGGCTACAAAACCAAATATGTCTGGCCGTGGCAAAGGTGGCAAGGTTTGTACAGCTGGCCTTAAGTGTCTTCGACCTACAACTTACTCTTGATTAACCCTCTAGGGTCTCGGAAAGGGCGGTGCCAAGCGTCATCGTAAGATTCTTCGTGACAACATCCAGGGTAAATCGGCCTTCAGCAATCCCCTAGATGCCTCTTAACGTCTTCTATAGGTATCACCAAGCCCGCCATTCGCCGTCTTGCCCGTCGTGGCGGTGTCAAGCGTATCTCCGGCCTCATTTACGAGGAGACCCGTGGTGTTCTCAAGATCTTCCTCGAGAACGTCAGTCTAGCTGCTTGGCTGCTTTACGTGTTTCCGTACTTATCTCTCAATTCCAGGTCATCCGTGACTCCGTAACATACACTGAGCACGCTAAGCGCAAGACTGTCACTGCTCTCGATGTCGTTTATGCTCTTAAGCGATCGGGGCGCACTCTCTACGGTTTCGGCGCATAGATGTTTCGTCTTTGACTTTT